CAAGACATTCTAAACGGTGATTGTAGGGTGCGGCTAAGTAACTCTTCAAGCCTTCAATGGAGAAGTTTCATGAACATTGTTCTGGTAAACTGCATAACACAATGCAGATGCCTTATTCAGCCAGTCATGCTCCCTTTTATGCCAGCATTGCTGGGAATTGATCATTTTGAAGAAGTTTCTATTTGAAACAAATCAAGGATAAAATCACAAGCATCAGCTTAAAGGTGATCAATCGCCAACAAAATGGAAAAAGGAAAAATCTAGCGAGCGAAGAACGCAATAAGTGACACAAGAATATTCTTGAGATAGTACGACTGGTGATTCAGAAGGTAAAAGTCGTTCTTCTCAGAATAAGCTCTACAGATTTTTACAGTCTACATTGAACTCCTGAATGGACTAAGGCATCATAATAAATTCGACAGCTCTAGATATTTTAAGCAAGTGGACCATGAAGATGATTACGAGTATGACAAAGAATGAAGATCTAAAGGACATTATTTCCAAAGACATGGTCCTGAGGCATCTAAGAGGCATAGTACTCCTGGTAGTGGTAAGAAGATGATGATGAATTAAAGTGGAGGTATAGACGTAAACGTAAAAGAGAAGGTGCGGTGCATCTAGACAATGGAAAGGCTTATCACGGAAATAAATGGTCAAACTGGAACGATCTGATTTGAGAGGGAGGATGTCTTATGAAATAACATTGGTGCCAAACAACCGACGATATAGGAGTTGTTGTTGTTGTTGTTATTAGATAATATAAGGAGAGATTTAACATTCGTAACAATACCTATCAACATTTATTGGATGAATCAGATAGCAACTATAGCAATAATACCATGATAATATTCATTTAGGTAGTTATCATTAATTTACTTTTTAAATGACAATACTTATTCAAAATTTTCTAATTTTTTCAAGGAAATTTTAGGGATTTTGAAAATACCTACTTAATCCAGATTCCATGTTAGATGGATCCTAGTGCTGCGTAATGTTGTTACCATCGAACCTATATAAAGTGCGTTTTTTTTTTAAAGATAATTTCCCAAGTCAAAAATTTAGTAACTATGTTGGCAACACAAGCCTTTTCTACATAAAAAATTTGAAACATTGACAATTTTACATTGTATTGCCAACATAATGTCATTTTGACTTTTATCTTTAAAAAAAAAACGCACTTTAGATACTATTATCTCGTCTATTATACAAGGTGTATCAGGTTTGATTACAAAAATTTTAACACGTGAAGATATGGCCCATTTTGGACAAAAAAAGTTTATACTACATGGGGTCCAAACTCAGCCATTTTTAAGAAAAAAGGTCTTTGAAGTTTTGACATTTCTTTATGAATATTTGGAAGATAAAGAAAATTTCAATCATCATGATATGTAAAAAAAAAATACTCTATCCAAAAATTTAGTAATTATGCATTTTTAGTCAACAACAATAATAAATAATTGAAAAAACAACATGAAAATTTAACTCGTAAATCGGTATCTAAACAACTGGCAACATAGCAGAAAAAAGAATAGGTGGTTGGGTTTTGAGTCTTGATTTGTCAGTTACTTGAAGTATTGAAATTGAAAACGCGCGTAATTCATTCTCTTTTGGAAATAGAATGTTTATAGTATTTTTAATACCTATTCAGAAGTACCAGTCGTTCTAGTGACAAAACGTATGTCTCTTCTTGAACACACAGATAAAATCAGGTTACGAATTTGCTATTTGTACATGAAATTGACGTATTAGCAATCGACGTTCGTTTTTGTTGGTAATTTTTTGTTTCGTCTGATTCGTGAATGATAAATAAGGATGAGGTGTATTGAAAATACTATACAAACGTCGAATATGCAGATACTTGTTTCGGCAGAATCGTTGTAAAATGCCCATTTAGCCGCCAAAATTTACAGGGAAAGATTTCCCAAGAACACCCACCTGATGAAAAAACATTATGCCCGTTTTACAAAGATTGCGTGATACGGGAAGTGTGAGTGTGCAAAATCTGCGTGTTGATTTGAGTGCTTTGAGAAACTTTTAACAAAAATTAATATTTTCATAATGAGGATTTGGCAAGTAGCTGAGTAAGTGTTATTTAATTTTTCCCTTGAATGTTTATTTCAAAAATGTCATTGAGTGCAATTCACAACTTAATAAAACAGCAATTTTTTTATTTTTACAAGAAAAGTGATAAAAATGCAAGTTATTATTTACATTATTTGAAATCCAATAACAAACCAAAACGTAGACAGATAGAAATAAATAAAATCCTTGCAAAAAAAAAATCCTTTAAATTTAACAGTTTTCGTTACATTTATATCCTGGCAGAGATAATACTTGTACGATGTTGTTAACATTTTTCTAAATTTAAATTCTGCAATAACTCCGAAAATACTAACAATTGACCCATGGTTAATAGGACAGTTTCAGCTTGAAATAGGCCATATTATCTCATGTTAAAATATTCGTACTCATACCTGATACACCCTGTAGATACACTGTCGATCAGTGTGCACCATAATGTTCGCTACATATGGGAAAAATTTTTAACTGTAGGATATGCCATTTGCCTTGCATGTGCGGATGATCCTGCACATCCGATATCCTAAAAGTATATTTTGACATCGGTCACATGATCACCGTCATGGCGACAAATTCGAAAAATTTTATATGGAAACGCTAAAAGTGGTATTAGACGACAAAATATCGGAAAACTTTACATGGAAAAATAACGATATTTTAGGGCTGGCTACGAAATTTGAAGCGAAAACGAAAAAAATAGAAATATTCTGATTATCAAATAATATTAGACTTTGATATTAGTTTAGGTAATATGTTAAGGTATTATTAACACTATTTTGGGGAACATTTGAGCTGTCGTTAATTTTTAATAGACAATATATAAATTCAGTAGCATTTTAAATACTGCAGAAAATTGTCAAATATGACGTCATTCGCTGCAACTACCAATATTATACTGGTAATTAGTAACTACGTTGTCAGATTGTCATTGCCATCAAGATTGCCTTTAGAAACCTGATTTTTGCTTGTTTACTTACCTATATATTGTTTTTTATTGGATTCTTTGGACTCAAGGATCTATACCTTGACATCATTTCAGTTTTAATAAATCACGACAGTCAATTTGGCAACGTCGCATTCTCTGTCTGCTGATAAATATTATAACCTCTAATTTCACAGTTTGTTTAAGTTTATTTTTTTTTTTTTTTAAATTTTGTGTTCTGGAACTGTGTTTCATTGCTTGGAATGGAATATAAAAGTTCCCATAAGCAACAGACCTGAAGTATAGCAAACCAATATTGTTAATGTTTTTGAAAACGAAAATAAAAACAAAAACAATCAACACACACCCATTATCAACATAAAATTAGGGTATGTTAGACAGCGTGTTAAACGAAGTGTGCAAATAACGAAATGAGGAATTTCATAATTGTCACTCTTTAGAGCTTAGACAAAGCATCAGAAATGTGCGTCAGAGCCATTGTGAACGATTCTTATTGGTCGATTGGGTATCTACGTCATACAACGGTGCCATTCCAGTATGTTTAAAAATGTGGTATGAAAACAGCATTTTTAAACATTATTTTCTGAAAAAATAGGACATTTCAAAGCCAACTGGAAGCAAGGGTACCTATATTTTTATTTGGGTTCATACTAGCTGATCAAAAATAATAGAGCAATGGAATTCAAATATGGTGAAACCTCCCATTCTAGTTGGAGGTATCAACAGTAAATTATTGAAAACCTCATGAACTGTCAAAGATAGGGTATGCTACGAAAATGTTTCATGTGCTAATTCTAATGGAATATTTTTATTCAATTTCTTAGAAATAATTTCAAATATTCCGTCACTTTGGATTATTTCAATAAGAAAAATTATAAATTTGATACGATATCCATGAAGAAAAATTCCCTATATTTTGTTGTTTATTTGCCGCAATAGCAATGATCACGTGACCGATGTCAAAATGTTATTTTAGGTTATAGGAAATTCAAAATAGATCACATACAAAAAAAAAAATCACATAGGTATTCTACAGTTGAAAAGTTTTTTCATATGTATCGAACACTATGCTGAACACTGTATTCAAGATACGAGATTAGTATAATGAAAATATGCCTTGTGGTGATTTTAGATACTAATGATCGAAATGAGTAAGTGGAATTAAAATCCATATATAGGATTGGCAAAAGTTTATAACTTTGAACAATATGGAAATCCATATCGATTTTGAATTTTAGGGATGAAGCTACCAAAACTCATGTAGAATTTCAATATAAAATCATTAAATTTTTATTTCCTGTTTGACCAGAATTTTCATAATTTTTTTTATTTCATATACTTAGGTCTTCCTATGATATTTGGATTTTAAGGGTAGGTAATTCTAAGAAGGAACTTTATGTCTGCGCTATACTTCTTGGTATAAGTAGATAAGCTCGTGGTCACCAAAGTAATAAACAAGGCATTTGAAGAGAATGAAGATATAGAGTTGATCAGTATAGATCGAAAAGCTAGTAGGTGAATAATTATGATGATATTGGTAAAACCATGAATAATTTCACATGCATTACAATCTTATCAAAAATAGGATATTCGGTTTTGTTATTCACCCAGACTCATTTGTAGATGCTTTTGTATCAATTCAATCATTGTATTTAAAAAATTCTTGGGAATATTTCCAAAAGAATTAAGCTTTTGGAATATCTTAGTAATTGAATTGCATCTTTCAGATTCTTTCCAAATTGAGTGAGTTTGAGGGGATTTAATAAGTGAATTTATGGGGCTAGTATATGGGTTGGTATATCTATACACCAGCCAGTTACAGACGAACTATACGACAAGAGTGGGGGAGGAGGCGAAACCAGGTCGACATATTGTTATGTTAACGAGCTCGAATTCATTTCGAATAGCTCTTCAGTCACTATATTATTGGCATACACCGAATTCATTTCAAATAAAAAATATAGGTATAGGTACTTACTTGAACACGAGATTCCGTTAACCCTATCCTCATGGCGATTTCTTCTCTCATAAAAATATCTGGATAGTGCGTTTTCGAAAAGCACCGTTCCAGCTCGTTGAGTTGTGCCGGCGTGAATCTGGTCCGATGTCTCTTTTGCTTCGAAGGTTTGTCGCCATCGTTGGAACTACTGTTGCTCAACGGACCACTTAAAGAACCACCCAAGTTATCGCATAAACCAGAAAGTCGCGGTTGATCTAACACTTTTAAGTCACCCTGATGTCTCTTTAGTTCTTCACCGCACATGTCTTTTATACCTGAAATGAAATTTTTGATTTAGGATTTGTTGATTATTATTTGTGTATATGATGGACATTTAGTTGACAACGTGTAATTACTTAGTTGTAGGATAATAGAAATAGAAAAATGTTGATGTTTTCAAATCGCGAGTCCGTTAAAGACTGAACATGGCTGAACAATATCAAAAGCCCCCGTTGGTATATGTCCTAATTGTTTGGCCTACCAGCGAAGCCCAATAATATTGCCTTAATGAGGGCGAGGCTGCTCCAATTTAGCCCCATTTAACTAGCCTATCGTTAGTATGCTGAACCACTAAAGACTTTCACGTCAATTAGAGCCCCCACTAACTTACCGACAGAGCCCAAAGTATTTAACATATTTTTGGGCAGTAGACGATAAATTTTGACGCACTGCACTGTTTATTTAATGAGTACTGATTTGATACTGAATTCTGAATATGTTGTTGATGCCGAAAAGGGACACAAGTGGGAGTAAAGCTAATGGGGACAAGACCCCTAAGCGGGCGGAGCTAAATGGCGAAGGCGGAGCTTTGCTCTTCCATTATTTCTTTGTAAAGGTATCAGGGATAATAAAGATGAAACGAATAGCCTCGAAGTCTTTTCAATATATAAAATTGTGAATTTATTTCGTTTTTTTTTTTCTAAAAATTCATATATTTCACAAATGACTTCGTAGCTATTTATTGACGACAAAGGAAAAATCACTTTCCTTATACCAGATAAGAAAGAAAATTCAGATATTAAACTTAGTTTTGAGAATATATCACTCCCAGTTTATCCAGTTCAATATTGCATTTCCTTCTACTTAGTACAAAATGGTTTTCAATATCTTCTACATATCCTTGCCTTGCTAAGTAGGTACCTACCATGCCTTATTTCAATAAAGCTCAGTCGTAGGGTAGACATTAGTAGGTATGTTACACCATAGTTCTAATGAGTTGCTATCAATTCACTATTAGGTAGATAATGACAATGATAGCGAACCTCCCTTATGGCCGCTTTGAAGTTCGCTATTTTTCTCCCTGCATGCCCTAATAACACAGTAACATCGCAGAAACATTCCAGAAACATCCATCAGGGATAATGAAGACGTCCCTGGGAGGTCCCTATTTTCCTGGGGACATCCCTGGGATGTTGCAGGCAACAGCCGTGTCATCATTTGCGATGTCCTATAAACATCTCTCAGGGATGTTTCTAAGATGACGCGGGATGTACCTAATACATCCGGGGCAGGTGTAAGAAACATCCTCTATATGTTTCTAGTATGACTTTAATAGGTGAATGAATTTTAGGATTATGGATTAAAAATTACCTAATTCAATAATTTTCAATTTTCGTTCTATTTTCTGGAAGTCAGATAGAACTTTTTCCAAAAAAAAAACAAAAATTGAAAATTATAAAATTAAGTAGGCACATCAGTTTCCAATAACATTTTTTATTGAAAAAATAAGGTACATGCATACTTATATTGATTATCTATCAACTAATAATAACCGACGGACAATTTTGCCTAAATAATGTAGTATTTATGCCCCGTCATGTCATCGAAAACCATAGTTTGGCAGTGGCAGCATGTTGTAGTGGGGGAGTTCGGCGTTTTCTTTTTTTTTTTTTTGGTGCTCCAATTTCATAAAGGTACCATTAACTAACCAAAACAACCACAGAACCAAAATCCAAAGTTCTTGAAGTACAATTCAACTTGCACACCTAGAATGTAATCAACTATGAAAACAAAAAATAATTATTGGTTATTTTCTCTTACCTAATGAAGAATGAAGTTCGGGTTTTTAGGGGCTATTTATTAGAAAAGTTAGAAATTTCCTAACCGACGCCATATTGAAATTAAATAAACTAAACAATTGATAGTTATGCGACGTTATCTTTCAACAAATAATCTTTCTCACCAACTAATAAGCACTGGTAGGTCGCAGAGATCCTTTCGAACACAAAATGGCACAACTAGGTGTAGCGAAAAACCACAAATTGACAAATCCTCCACACAGCACGACGCCATTACGAAATAAAATTCCGCCCAACAACACAAGCGAAGCGCACAGGACGACCCGTTCGACTGATTCTGCCCGTCTGCGCTGGCTGCGGCGCCGACCCTACGTGGTGGCGTGCCCTCCTGTCCTGACCGGTACAAGTACAAATGCCTGAGCACGCGCCTGCGCCATACACTTCGGCTTCACGAATATTCACGATGTTTGAAAGTTGAAAAGAGAGAAGACTTTCATCAATACATATTTTATTTTATTCCAAGTTGTAAGTCGAATGAAAAATTAAATTTTGCTGTTGTTACAATACAAAATTAATATTAAGTACCTTATCTATATACATTACAGGTATATTATGGAATTTGAAATTAGTTTGTGTGTGTGATAGAGACATTTTCAGAAATCACACAAAATTGGCAAATTTAATACTGGGTCCTGCCGGTCTGAGGTCCTACCTAGTTTTGTAAAATAATGTTAGCCATTTTTCAGCTGTAATAAGTATCTAATTTTGAGAACGAAAAATCTTTTTGTCGATAGATATTTTCGAAAGGATGTTTCTAAAACATTTCAGGACAATCATCCTAGAGATGTTACATTACAAACATCGCAGCGATGTACCATTTATGTCGGAAACATAAGGACCTTAATGGTACATAAATAGGATGTTTCTGGGAGATCGGTGTTATTAGGGTGACGTATTGCTGCTACTTATAAAGTGGCGGTTTTACAGTTTGCAAATTTTATTCCAAATTCTTGATGCATTTTCAGAACTACCAACCACACAAATATATAAACTTCAGCTATTTTTAATAAGGTTATGTTTAGTTTGGTTGGTTTTTGGTTTCCTATAGCCCTACCCAAATAGCATTTTGACGATGATAATCACATAATACACCAAAATTAACGTTGTACTTAGTGTAGAGTTTAGGTATTTAAGATACGACGCTCTCTAAACCACTGGACAACATCGTCTTAGTGTTGTGCAAGACTTTAGTTAAACTACGACGTTGTGACAACATTCACGCAACCGACTACAATTAATTAATATTTTGGGAATAACGTTCTGACAACGTTCAGGTGACAACTTAAGTTATGTTAAACGTTTTGTAAGATTTAACTAAGCAGGAGGCAGTTTTTCAGTTAAATTGAAAACGTTTCCGCGGAGTCACCTTCTCAACTAACCTTTTTTCAAATACAACCTCAAAATAAAAAAGTCGTTCAAGACCATCAGACCATCAAATTAAAAATGAAACAAGCCTTGAGCCTTCAGATAAACTACCTCATATTGACAAAAAAAAAAGTATGTCATGAAGAAAATTCAGGGGCATAAGCCTACATAAAGACACAGATCCGAGAACTTAAGTTTAAATTCTTCAGGAACAAATGCCAACCCGAGGGCGCATCCTGATGAAGAAGTAATATTAGTAGAGGAATCAACTAATTTTCTAGAGGACGAATAGTTGATGCAGGATAAAAAACTCGATCATGAGGAATGGCTTAATCAAATGGAACCATGGAACCAAGGAAATAACTCAATAATAAAGACGCGATCAATCTAGACTAGAGGAAGAAATAATAATATAATGCGGCAACTGAATTACACGGAGAGGCACGTAGGCGCGATCGAAAATTGTGTATTTTGGAGTGTTCGTAAGTTAAACTCAGTTTAGTTTTTGGTCCGATAAGCAACTCCAATCACGCCTCGGAAAAAAGTTAGTTTACTGGCAGACTAACGTTAAAAGTTTATTTTTTAGTTATCTGATATCTTAAGTGGCGTTGACGCCTATTATACTCCTACGCCATGTTGAAAGTGTATTCTGTTTGGAAACATGGTCCCGGCCATTGAAATTTGGTGCATTAACAGGTAGGTAGGTATAAACTAAGGAGTGTAAAGCTTTTTTTTAGTTTTCTAGGAACCATTCATATGCCTCCCGTTTAGCTCGCGTTTGAAGCGATATCAACTTCAAATATTGGTTATCTAATTATTTTTTTTTTCAATTTTTATTTTTATTTTTGGGTTTGAGAAATTTGCAACGGATTGGAGGCGCACGTGTTTTTTGGCATAAATCTATAGTACATTTATCAGTGAAGTAATATGCGTTGCTGATTTCTGTTTGTATATCGTCTTTTTTCGGCAATATAAATAAGGTATTTGAAGCATAAGAATAACACATTTAGATACCTACTGTAGTAAGTTTAAAGAAAGTGTCCATTTTGACCATCAGTGAATATTTGGTTGAAAAATTTACTGTTTCCTAAACACAACAAAAAGTAAACTCTCATCACCATGAGAGAGGGTGCAGGTGTGTAGTTGTTTAAAAGTAAATTCAGCAACGTTTAGGAAACGACCAACTGCTACCTGAAGTTGAAACTGGAACGTTTCAAAAACCCAGAAATGATTGACCAAATTGGTGCAAAACAAGGTTGTGACAACGTTGTAACAAGGTCGTTTACGCAACTTAAACACGTCGCCGCAACGTTAAATTGCTGCTTGGGTATATAGGTAGGTACTTAAAACTACATAATAATTATAAAACGGTTCAGATTATGGTCCTAAACATAAGATAGAGAAGAATGAAAGCTGATTGCTGCTTCTAGTAAACGCCAGCACTAAAGCTAATTTGTTAAATACAAATGACTACCTATTCTAAAATACAATTGAAGGTTTCTTATACTTTTTGTAAGATATTTACTTACTAGTTGTTTTGCTATGTGACATGGCCTCTAGTTGATGTTGAGGTTAGGCAACTAGCACCACAGCACCATTACGCGGGCATGATGTTTATATTTTATATTATTCTTCTTGCTAGTTCTGGATAACTAGAACAGTTACCTACTTATTAAATCGTCTAGTTTGATTTATGAGTGTCCCCTGTCCCCAAGTCATATCTTTCACACAGTGTCGGGTGTGAATTACAATTAGTTGACTCTTGGCTTGACTCTTCATTAACCTCTAAAAAGAAACATGGAAAGTTTCTTCAGACCCCCTGAGCCCCTTATATTGAATGGAAATATTTCGGACAATTGGAAAAGGTTCCAGCGGAAGTTTGAAGTTTTTCTAAATGCCACAGACTTAGTTAATTAGGATGATAAGAATAAAATTGCAATTCTGCTAAATCTAGTGGATGACGGAGCTCTCGAGCTGTACAACACATTCAATATACGGGAAAAAAAACTCTTGCAGTTGTACTCAAAGCATTTTGTGATTACTGTTCGCCCAAGAAAAATGTAATATTCCAGCGATTCTAGTTTAATGGCATAATCCAACAGGAAGGACAAACATTTGACAACTTTCTAACACAATTGAAAAAAGCTGTACGAACTACAGAGTATGCGGATCAGGATGAAATGGTCCGTCATAGAATAGTGTTTCGTGTTATGATAAGAGCACTCAAG